AAATCAGGAAAGATTTAAAGAAGTTGAATTGTAATTATGAAGTTTGTATATTTGTATAGGGCATGGTTGAAAAAAGAATATAACATCTAATCTACAACAAAACATTGAAAAAACGTAAGTCCCATGTTTTTATATCGGTTTAATGATATAAGTTTGGGAAAAAAAAGTTCTATATATTAATGAGTACACAAGTTAATGAAATAGGTTTGTGAATAAGCTTATGTAAGTTTAAGTGACCAAACACCAATTGGTTTGCTTAAGCAAACTTGAAGATGCTTGGATATTCTAGGATATTCTATTATCTAATGGTTGTTGTTCATTTAGATTAATCTTTTCTTTATAATTTGTGAACATGTTTATAAGTTATAAAATTTCCTTCTAGTATATTCTTTTCTATTTCACTATTGATATAATCTTGATTTATAAATTATAAATATTTTTATCAATATTGCTCAATTAAATTATTACTACTATCAAGTAAACCAAGAAAATTATTTATGAGATAAGTATTTTCTCAAATATTTTTATCTCTTCACCATGGTTCCTTTTGCTTGTTTTCAGGTTGTTTGGGTTTGATTGACAGCTCCATCAACCTTGCATCACACTCTTTCCTCACAAAGTTTACCAACAAGCTCCTGAGAAAAGCTTTTCTCTCATTTTGATTAAGTTCTTTGGAATTAGAGCATATTCCTTCAGTGATACGATGGAGTTCCCTCGTTCTGACACAGCACTCTTAGTTCTCAGGCAACTCCCAAGCACCTAAATGAAAAGTAACCTTCCAAAGCAACATGAGTAACACCTCCCAATACCCTCTCCACAATAAAATTGTATGTCCATTCCCATCCTTGAAATAACATGTCATTGATGAAAAAGTCAAAAAAGATGTGTAAAGAGATAAGCTCCAAAGCCTCCACAGCTTTTCATTGCCAAGCTTCAGTTTCCTCAAAACAACTTAAAGATAGGGACTTCTAACTAGCTCGACCATCTTGGCCTAAAAATTGCATAAACTAAGTACCTTGTGAAGGCTATAAGACAAAACAAAAAAGCTATGAACTAGTGAAAAACTATAGTACCTATGACCATCATGCTTCGTAGGGCGCTCTCTAATTACTCCAAATGAGTAGTGCAAGAAGAAGTGTGTCATCGTGACAGTGACGCCAGAGTACTTCTGAACTTGGGGCGGAAAACTAGGCATATCTCCACACTGAGCGAGCACGTGAGTAGTGGATTCCGTCCAGATTTCTCTCCTGGATCTGCGAGTGGAGCCTCTTCTCTGCTAAGTCGCCACGTGCCTTGAACGCCACCATGAAAAGTCTGAGCGTTTGGCTGCCGGTTTGCTCGTAGTACTCAAGAGCAAAGGTTGTTCTCGGCATATCCCAGGAAACGATGTTTTGCTGTTCCATGCAAAGTCTCAGCGTTTGGAGGCAGGCCAGCTTCTCGTTGCATCTGATAGAAGACGTGCATGTCCCATGATGATCGTGTTCCAGGCAACCAACGTCATGTTTATTTGTCCTCCTGAACACTTCTGATGCTTCCACAGTGCACGAGGCTGCTTGCAACGAATGCATACGGCTTTGTTTTCACAATTTGCAAGGTAGACCAACCTATCCTGTTCTTCGTCCCATCCTGTTGAACAACCTGTGTTGCAAGCCGCAGTGTAGACTTCAACCATACTTTCACAATTGCACTTGCTTGATTCCTGGCTTATGATGCTCTTGACTCTGGAGAAACTTATCTGGCTGCTATGCCCTGCACTGCTTCTTCTCATCGAAGTTGAGATTTGAGCGCCTGCAAGAACAGAGAGCAAAAGTAGTACGTTACCTTTTCTCATACCTTTCGTCTCAAGCAACTTCTCTGGCCTTTGGAGGTGCACTAACGTCTGCTCCCCCGTCACCTCTAGAGGATAGCTCAGTCAAATCGAAACTTGGTAGGTTCCTGCTCTACTTTCCAGTCCATGTTCCGAGCCAGCTGCGCAATAACTTCCAAGTCTGGTGACTTCCACCAGTGGACCCTTGTATGTGATCTTCACCGTCCGTGAGCAAGACCCTGCTGTCTTCTTGCTCTGCAACTTCATCTCCTTGAAGATTGTTTGTACACAATCTTCCATGTGACAAGGCATGCACTGTGCTGACTTACGCGTCACTGCCAGTGTTGGCAGGACACTTTGAGGAGAATCCCAGAGTGGCATTACTGTGCGAACCACGAGTGTGAGCTTCCAGCTGTTTCTTCTCAGTCGGAGAATCATCCACCACAACTTCCAGATGATTCGTCACTTCGATCTGCCACCCAGGATCCTGAAAGATAGCATTACTGTGCTGCTTCCTTTGAGATAACATCCATTGCACGAGCAAAAAGCACACGAGCAGCACCAAGATCGCAACCAAAACCCAGAGAAGAAGTTGGAGCAGCGACCACAGCGTCCTCCGAACCACTGTAACTACTGCTGTGGGTGTTGGTGTGGCCACTACTGCGTTGTGACCTTCGTGACGATGGTGGTGGTGGTGGTGGTTGTGACGTCCTCCGTGGTGGTCACTGTGGTGGTGAACAACCAGAGGAGGTCCATCACCGTGATGATGATGGTACACTGCTGCTTCTGGAGCTGGATGATGGTGGCGAGCTAGTGAATTATTTGCTTTGGAGTGTTATTCAAGAGGACGAGTAAAGCAATTGGTAAAACCAACACAATATAAATCAATAGGTATGATCTTCAGTACCAATCAATTTGTATAAACACGAATATTATTTGGTTACTTGACATAATTGGAAAAAGATTTTTAAATTAATATGGTGCATTTTTTAGAAAAAGGTTAGTAGTACCTTTCTTAAAAGATTTAGACCAAAGATGCCTATGCCCCAATTCTTTTTCCTTTCCTTAACCTTTTTTTTTCTCCGCCTCCTTTTTATCTTTGGCGACTATTAATATTAGAGGGATCCCCAAGTTTAATTAGGTCTTTCTATGCGTCATGGAAAAGTTGGATTTTAGGGTATTTTTCGCTTGGGTGCTGTGTTTCTTCTTCATGGCCGACGATGACGATCGAGAGCGAGTCATCGGCAACCAGCGATCCTGCCTGGACGGACTCCTGGAGGAACTCGGTGAGAGCGCGACACACCAGATCGTCAAGGAGCGCCTCGCCAAGATGGCCTTCCAATGCCCTTATTGCCTCTCTCACGACACACAGTTCGAGTACTTCAACAACAAGCAAAGGGGGAAGGGGTTCCAGCCCAGATACCGCTGCCGGAGTTGCAAGAAGCAGTGGACGATCGGTGGGCGGCTAAACCGGAAGAAGGATTTCCCGGCGCAGAAGAACGAGGCGCACATCCACTTCGATTGCCCAAGGTGCCAGTCCTCCGACACAAGGTTCGATTACAACAACAATGGCAGCGCAAACCAGCCGTGCTACTTCTGCAAGTTCTGCAAGACGAAGTTCCGGCCTTTCTCCAAGCCAAGGGTGAAACAGGAGCCAAAGCGATCGCCTTTACCCTTTGATCTCAATCTGGATCCCGAGCCTGGGAGAGCTCCATCGCCGCTGCGATCCGGAAGCTTGGCTGATCAAAGGCCATCGCCCGGCTTTGTTTGTGTGAATAATAAGCAAGATAGTTTACATTGACACTATAGCAAATGCCTGCTCACAATCTTTTTGGGGAAGAACACTGGAACGAACAAGGGTAAAAAAGGATGCTCAAGGGTGTGCTATGGTTGCTCCCCGCCACCATTGAACTTTGGCTATGGTACTTCATCCAGCTCTCCACCATCGTGTGGATGATTCCAATCGCCGTGGTCTCCAGCGTTATAATACGGATACGATGAATTACTGTCCTCGATGATACTTTGGTCGTGCCATGGTAGCAATGGATTGTTGGGCTGTGGGATCATGTTTATGTCGATTCCAAGCGGTGGAAACAGCGAAGGGTGGTATGGAGCTGTGTGATCGATGAATGATCCTAGCACCGGAACAGTGGTGGTGGAAGGGAGATAGATGTGATCGTCCTGGTTGTGGATGTGAGGACTTGTGGGATTCATGGGTGGTGGTGGCAAATCAAAGCCGGGATTGAGAAAAGGGAGGAATGATTTGGGGGTGGGGAGCTCCTCCGCCAAAACGCTGCTGGGATCGATCGATGGGGATGGAATCACGAGATGGTCTTGCTGCTGCTCGAAGCAGCTGATTCGATCGAACGTACCCCGGAGCTTGTCGAGCAGGCAATCCGCCAGGCGCTTGAGCTCCTCCAGGTCGTAGCCATCGATGCGATCGTCCCATGCAAGGTTGTAGGCCCTCTCTTGCTCCAGCTTCCAGTTTTGATCCAGCTTCGCCTTGAGCTCCCGGCGGAGCTTCTTGATCTGCTGCTCCAGCAAGCTCGTGTTGTCCAGCTTCTTCTTGTCGCGCTCCTCCTTGGGCAGCCCCTCGAATTTGCTGATCACCGACGACACCCCCGGCATGCCCCAGCTGAATGGCACCGCCGCCAGCGATGGATTCGCGCTAGGCGGCGAGGAGGAAGACGAAGACGACGATCCCGCGGAGGATTGTGGCTGCTGATTGCTGCTGCCGATCGATCCCGGCGTGGAATTGGGCTGCTTGCTGGATGATCCGGCCGAGGAGCTCGCGGGGCCATAGCAGATCATGCAGACATCCACACCGCAGAGAATCGCGAGCTCCTCGGCCTTCTTCTTCATCCCTTTCTTGCGCTTGTTGAATGTAACCTGGCGCGAGGCATCGTTCTTGATCCAAGTGATGGGGATCTTGGACCGCCCCATGGATCGCAATCGCGCAATCGTGATGTCGATCGAGAGGGAAGAATGGAAATGGAAATTTAGGGCTCTTGGAGAGAACTGGGTGGTTTTTCAAACAGTGATTCATTGACTAAGTACCAGTTTCTATCTTGAGTTGGCATTGTCACTCAAACATTCTGTTTTCGCGTCGCGATTTTAACGGGCCCTTGTCACCTTTTAATCGTTACTTTTTACCATTGAGATGTTAGGGTTCTAGGGGTTTAGTAAAGAATTTTTAGGGTTCTAGCGATGGAGGAGATCGCGCTCGTGCCAGCGTCGCTGCCGGAGGTGGATATGGCGGCATTTCCCGCATCGAACTGGGTGCGCGCTAGCGTCGTGCAAGCGTCGACGATTTACGGCGACACTCCTGCAACGATCGGTGAGGTTTCTGGTCGATCGCTTTGGTTTGGGAATATTTCGCATGAAATGGATGAAATGTTGTGGCAGCCAAGGCCGAGAAGCTGATCGCCGCCGCCGCGACGCTGGGATCGCAGCTGGTAGTCTTTCCAGAGGCGTTTGTGGGAGGCTATCCTCGAGGATCCACGTTTGGCACTGCTGTTGGATATCGATCTTCGCAAGGCCGTGAAGAGTTTCGTCGATATCACTCGTGTGCTATCGATGTCCCAGGTGAGAAACAATACTAGATCTCCTAAGAAGAGGCTCTTTTCTTCCAAAGTTCTGGAAAAGGATCTTATCATTTTTCTCGCAGGTCCGGAGGTTGATCTTCTCGCGGCTGCTGCTGCCAAGTTTAGAGTGAACTTAGTCATGGGCGTGATCGAGCGCTCGGGTGGTACACTATACTGCAGCATTTTATTTTTCGACTCACAGGGTGTTTTCCTTGGCAAGCATCGTAAGTGCGTTCCTACCGCTGCCGAGAGGCTGATCTTTGGCTATGGTGACGGCTCCACTTTGCCTGTTTACAAAACCGAGCTTGGCCGTGTCGGCGGCCTTGTTTGCTGGGAAAACCGCATGCCTCTTTTGCGAACAGCATTATATGCTAAAGGTAACGGAAGTCCGATTGTCTTAGTGTGCTCTAACCGGTCTTTGTGTACAGGTGTGGAGTTTTACTGTGCACCAACAGCTGATTCGAGAGAAGCCTGGCAGGCTACAATCCGGCACATTGCTGTCGAGGGCGGATGCTTCGTTTTGTCCTGCAACCAGTTTTGCCGGAGAAGGGATTATCCTCCAAGCCCAGACTACACATTCGCGGGATTCGCTGAAGAGGCATCTCCAGACGAGGTGGTCTGCGCTGGTGGTAGTGCAATCATATCCCCGTCCGGCGACATTCTTGCGGGACCACACTACGAAGGCGAAGCCGTTTTATCAGCCGATTTAGGTACGTTGTCACCACTTCCTTGCGTGCTTGAATGCGGAACTAATGACCGCGATCAACTTTCAAGCAGACGTGGGAGAGATCATCAGGACCAAGTTTGAGTTTGATGTGGTGGGTCATTACTCGCGGCCAGAGGTGCTAAGTCTCACAATAAATGAGAAGCAATATGTGCCGGTGACTTTTGTTCCAGACGAAAAGAGGGCTGATTATAAGCTAGGCGAGGCGGGTAGTCCCATGCTACCATAGTTACAGGGATTACGACCCCGCTTCAGTTTTGTACAGTAAGTGTGGCTCCTGTCTATACTTGAATGACTAAACAGTTGTGTGTGACTACGTGCATTTGCAAAGCTTCCCAGGACACAGCAAGCATGGCTCTCGCGAGAGAGATCACTGACGGGAAACGTTTCCGAGAAGAAAGAAGCAGAGAAAAGAGAGAAATTTCAGCCCAGGTGTCTGTATCGGTGGTTACTTCCTCTGTGCAGCTTCACTGAAAACGACGACGCCATGGTGGTGGAGCGATTAAGAGCACTGAAAAGGCTTTTAACAGCTTACTATAGGGCCCGCGGCTTGGATTGGACCTGGTCGCCGGATGCTTCTTTCAACCACTTGCCGAGGTAAAGGAAGCCTTGCATTGCTCTTTGAGTTTGTTAAGCCCTTGCTAACTTTTTCATTGTTTTCTTTGGTTGTCCAGGAGGAACTCCTCCTTCCTCTGGTTTCCTGAAGAGTCTCCTTTCCTGGCACGCAAAGGCAGTAATTTACAAGTAGGTGTGTCCAACGCCTTGCAAACAAATGAAAGGTGGGTGGAAAGCTTCCATCTCTATAGAGGTATAGCATGTAGCAACTATATACAAACTAGGAGATAGACTGATGGTTACTTCTTTCTCAGGCAGGGGCCACGCGTATATGCCACTCACATGGCTTCGTAGGTAGGCAGTACCATGTACAGCGTCGTCCTCCTTCCCAGGTACAGTGCAAGCATACCAAACAGGCTTGGCTTGAGCTATGGCACCTAACTACAGCTTACCTTTAAGGCCTTCGGCTTTTGGAGCTAGCTCCTACGGCTAAGTAGTGATCAGATGAAAAATTCTGGCTCCTGGATGGATTGACTGATTGATTTCTCTTACTTCTTTGTCAAGAGCTTTCAGTCTAATCATTTAAAAGCAGGTCTCCTGGTGGGCGATCGCTGTCCAGGTAATCAGTGGTTCTCTAAATGACTTGCTCGTTGATCTTCTCTTTGGTTTTTGGCAGAAGCAGCATCCCCGCCGCGCTCGCTGGCTGTGCAATCACTGTCGAGCTGTTGGAGCATGGATTGAGAGGCGGGGGAGACAATCAAGGTGAAAAGCCGTTTTTTATTTGCTCTCTTTCTTTTCTTTTTTGAAAGAAGCTATGCGAAGCCGTCGCGTATTCACCGCTGCTTGCGTCGCACTGCACGGACTCAGAGAAGAACAGCTTTTTAAGTTATATCTCGCAACAAATCGATCAATCAGGCAGGCAAGGCACAGACAGACACGGCCAGCGGTGCTGCCAAGTTCGTTCAAACATCACAGACAGCATTGTTTATACGTTTTTCAAGCTATCACTCACTCACGAGTCACTGCGCAAGGTAAGAGAACTTCCATTCTCGTTCGCCCGCGCTCCGAGCTTCATTTAACACTCGCTTCTTTTTTGTATAGATTTTGGTTTTCGCCAGCCAGCTTGAAACTTTGAGCTCGCCAAAGTCAAACATAGAAACGCCCGCTCGCCTCGCGCTTTTTTCTTTGAATTTTCTTTGCTTTGCATTGCTTACTGAGCTTTGGTCCCGAATCCCGGTAACGACATCGGCGTGTGAGCGTAAACCAACGCCCACGAAAAAAAAAAAAATACTGCAAAGAAAGCAAAGATAACGCGGTGCTTGTAGCATAGCTCTGTCAGTATACATGCATACATACATGTACACATACAAGTTATGGTACTAAGATACATACTTGATTGAATGTATGCAGGACGTACACATTACGTCTCAAATCCCAATACCAGCCTACGAGCAGAGCACGCGTGTCCGTACATACGCTAGAGAGTATGTACGCTCGCTCGCTGGCGGTTGCGGACGGGAATCGAACCCCCAACTGGCCGGCGTACATACGGCTTTGGCGGGGTATATATACAAAAACGATGGGAGTTCTACGCTGGGAGGGATTTTTTAGGGTTCTTGGCTTGGCTATGGTCGTGACCGGCGTGCGGGCGTGCGGATTGTGCGTGCATGCGTGCGCCATGGCGAGGCAGCGCCAGCGCCAGCGCCAGGGCAGGGATTTCCTCGGCGAGAGGGGAAAATTCCCTCTTTCTCCTCTCTCTCTCTTTTCTCTCCTCTCTCTCTCTCTCTCTCCCTCTCTCTCTCTCTCCCCTTTCTCTCGCTGGCTGTGCTTGCTGCGGGGGACAGATTTCCAGGGAGCGCATTCATTGATTTCCATGTCGTAGTAGTATGCGCGTGTGTGTGCGTGCTGGGCAGGAGCTAAGATGTATAGGCGAGAGAGAGGGAGCTCCAGGCCTCCCAGGAGAGGCTACAACTGCTTTTTCTCCTTGATCTCTGTGTGCTTGTCGCAAATCCATGGCCAGGGAGGAGGAAATCCCAAATTCACACCCAATTCTTCTAATCCCAGAGCCGGTCCAGCCAGGGGCTGATTCAAATCCGCCTCTCTTTGATTTTCTCTCCTTTATTTTTTTTCTCTCCTGTGGACTGCCAAGGAAGAGCTAGCCCTGTCTCTAGCAAAGCTGCAGTGGTGTGAGTCGCAGCAGCTATTTAAACGTGCGCTGCTCGTTCTCGTTTCTTTGACGATTGTCACTTCCGTTTCATTCCTCTTGCGTGGTTCTCGTCCGTTCTCGTGCTTGCGATTTTGGTGTGAGCTTGCATTGCATCATCCTCTTCGTTCGTCCTAGTGATTCGAGTTTCCTACACGCTCTCTCTTTTCGTCAGGAAGGAGTGTGTGAGACCCAAGAGCTCGCAGCTCGTGATCTTCGCTTTGTCGCGAACAATTTAAAGTTTGTGAGATGTCACGGCTCTCGAGCAAGTCCGACTACTCTAGATATCTAGGAGAGAACCGAAGAATCACTGCCAAGTTTACTCATTTCAAAGAATCCTCTCATGCTTTTCCACGGCTTTCTTGAACCTGGTGCTCTTCCAAGGCAGGAGGATCAGAAAACGTTGTGGTATTTCTCATCTCCTCGTCTCGTCCTTGGTCTCCCCTTGAAAGAAACTCACCAGTAAGAGTACGAAGTTCAAGAAAGCTGTGGGAAACAATGGCCGGATTCAGAAGCTTGTGAATCATTTCGACGCTATAGCCGTGATCTCTACTCCATTTTTTTGTGTGCATCTTTAGCTCGTGATCATTGAATCGTCATACTAATCCCACTTGTGGTCTTGCTGTGATTGCAGCCAGCGAGAGCAAAGCTTCCAAGTCCCGCGATTCAACTTGGAGCAAGGAACTCGCAAAAGCTCTCGAGATCTTCTGACGATCACCGACGAGAGAGAAGTTTGGTTTTGTCGTTCTTTGCTCTTGGTTTTCGGTTCGCTCACTTTGTTTTTGGCAATTCCCCGTCGCCGTAGGTGTCACCTTGGCCAGGTAGAATTCGACATCGCCACTACAACTATACGTGTACTTGTAGGTATTTTCTCGCTTGCACTAGTTACTAGACTAACAAAAGCTGCTCGCTCGATTCGTATGTCGTTTTCACGCTTGGAGTGGGCTGCGCGATGGTTAACTTGTGTAGACTGATAGATATATGGCTTTGCTTTCCTTTCCCGTGCTCGCTCCGCCAAAAGGATGGATTTTCGCAGGCACCGTCTGCCGGAACAAAGACTGGAGCCCGGTCTGAGCGATGGAGCGTACAGTAATCAGTGCTCGCGTCTCCAAATCATCAGGTATCTAAGTTTGCGTTTACACTCTCCTTGTATTCTCGGACGAAAACTTCTCGTCGTGTTTCTAACTTTTTTCGTGGTCTTTGGGAAGGCCAGACGTTCTTAAGTTGGGATCCAGGACACTTGCTGGTGGCACTGATGCTTTTAGTGCGCACCGTTTTGGAAGAGAAAGGAGAGATCCCTCTGCGAGGCGCTAGTACCGCGTACAGTGAGGTTTGTGGAGACTTCTTTTCTTTTCTAGAGGGCGAGAGACTCGGAGAGAAATCATGAAGCATGACGCTGGCTACGAATGATGACGACGCTGCTGGTATTAGTTCTCTTTTTTTTTTCTACTGAGCTCGCAGTGGCACAGTTTGATCGATCAAAAAGCAGGCTTTTGTGAAGTTTTCGTGAGTAGAGCTCACGCAAATCTGTAAAACTATGTAACATGGAGAGCTTTTGTGAAGTAGAGCTCACGCAAATCTACGTTCTGGGCTGAAAAAACTCAAGAACTTCGTAGATCATCATGTTAAACAGAGATAAATCGAAAGTCCTCTTTGATTCAATCGAAAAAATCGAGTTTTTGGCTCTGGAAAGCCTTGAAAGTTTTTCTAAGTACTGTAGAAGAAAATGTGTAGTGTTTCCACGATAGAACAAGGATCTTTGTCCGCATGCTATAGAAATCATAGGCCATCGTGGCCGTCCACCGCGACACCACATCGAATGGACCAGCGCTGCCGTGGCCACATTCAAATGCTTCCTCCTCCATGCCCACTTCCTCTTTTTCGCGGCGATGGCAGCTACGGCGATCCATGGCAACGCCGCCGCCGCTATCTCTACTAGCGGCGCCGCCAGATTTGGCAGCCCCGGGGGCGATTTGCCGCGGCATTTGAATTTCAAGGGTTCCTCCTCCTTCTCCTCTCTCGTATTTCGGGCAGATTTCATGGCGAGCACGCTGCGCGGGGGGAATCGACTCGAGGTCGTGCGCGCGGTCACCACCGCCGCCGCTGCTGCTCCAGGTAGTGGCGATGCGAGTTCCAGGGTTTAGGGTTTAAGTGATCGGCAATGGCATTGCCGGATTCGTGTTGCGCTGTGCAGCGATCGATCCCACGCTGCAGGACTCGCTCAAGCGTGCCGTGGCCAAGCGGGCTGTGGAGCTCGTCAAGCCTGGGATGATTGTGGGGCTTGGCACTGGCAGCACTTCTTCCATGGCGATTCAAGAGCTCGGGAAGCTCGTCTCGCAAGGAAAGGTTTGGAAGTTTTTTTCTTTGCATGCTTTCTCGGGGCTTAGTGAGATTTTTTCGTCGTTTGTTTGTGGTAAGAACAGTTAAAGGACGTCGTGGGTGTGGCCTCGAGCTATCAATCCAGGATCCTTGCTCGTCAGTATGGCGTGAAAACTGTGAGTCCGAGAAAGTAGAGAACTTTTTCTTTTCTTCTTTCGTGGCACTCGTAAATCATCCACTGTATCAGGTTGATTTGAATGACGTGAATGTGATCGATTTTGCCTTCGACGGAGCCGACGAAGTGGATGCCTCCATGAACTTGATCAAGGTAGCTCTGAAAATCTTTGCTCGCCTGGCTTGGCTCACCCGTAGAACACGAATTTTAGGGAGGTGGTGCTGCTCATACAATGGAGAAGGTGACTTCTCTTTTCTTTGGTCTTTAACTTTTCTTTATCTGGTCACGAGTTTCTCGTTTGTGGCACAGGTTGTCGATGCCATGGCTAAACAATGCATAATTCTGGTCGATCAGTCCAAAGTCGTCTCAAAGCTTGGATTGACATTTCCTGTTCCTGTAAGAAACTTTCTCTAACTTTTTTACTCTATAGATCGTGTTTGATTTGATCGAATATATCCAGGTGGAGGTTCTTCCGTTTGCCATTTCACCAGTTCTTCGAGCCTTAGTTGGGCTTGGTGGAGGTAAGTTCTTTTTCTCTGTCTCTCTTTTTGTTCCGTATTGCAATTTGCTGCTATGAACAGTTCCTGAGATTCGCAACGCTCTGAGAAAAGATGGACCCGTTATCACGGATCTTGGAAACATGGTGGTCGACGTCAGGTGTGGAAAACTTTTAAGTTAACTTCCAACGGCATTGGTGCCAAAAACTCAACCTGAAAAACTCACAGGTTCCCCGATGGAGTAAAAAATCCCGCAGAGATGGAACGCTCAATCAACATGATTCCTGGCGTGGTGGAAAGCGGTAAGATCTGTGATCCAAATCTCTCGAGAGAACTTTCTTTTCACCGTTTTGTCTTTCTTTTTCCATGCAGGTCTTTTTGTGGGGATTGCGAACACCGTACTCGTTGCAACCCGCGATGGCGACGAAATCACAATCGTAGAGCTAGCAGATTTTGTGAGGAGCTTGAAAGAAGCCACGGCCAGCGGGTGACGAGACGACGCACTCGACTAAATAACTCACTCGCCCGCGACGCGACGTCTACTAAAGATTTTAACAGCCAGGTTCTCTTCGGTTACTTCTCTTCTCTTCCTTGATCGAAAGCAAGAAAAAAAAAAGAGATTCTTTGCAATCGCTTTCTAACAATCGTGCACGGCAGACAGTGTAGAGCTCAAAAGCCGAGAGATCCAAAGAATGATCGCGAGAAGAAGTAGAAAAAAGAAAGAAGCTTCGGCTTTTTTGAGGAAATGGCTCGATCGAGAATAAAGTTGCGGGGTTTGTTTCTTTCATTTCTCTTCGTTGGTTGGTTCGTTCTTTTCTAAACCTTCTATAGTTTGGTGGATCGTGCACGGCAGAGATGATCAAAGAGAGAGACGAAGAAAAATATAAGAAAAAGGTCGATTTAAACTTCCAACATTTGAGTCAGGGCTTGGAGCTTCACATGTAGCGGTTTGAATGCGAAGTGTTATAAAGACACATGGGAGGGAATATTATTTAGTCGGACGTGGAATCTTGTGGCCCCAGGAGTCGAACCCTGGACCTGTCTTTGTTTCTTTCTGTGAAAGCAACTCTCTCCAATATGGGTGGCTCGGGAGAACTTTGGAGAGATTTAATCGATTGGATCGAATTTATTTCATATGGTTTCTAGGAGCTTTGGAGAACTTCATATGGATAGATCAAATTTAATTTCATATGGTTTCTAGAAACGAGATTTTTGCTCCTGTCCTCCTCGTTCCATCCAGCTTCGTTGTGAGACAGATGGAAACATGGGGTTTTTTCTCACACTGGGGCGGTGATCCTGATTGAAACCGATGGATTGATGGATGGAATTGATTGATTGATTGCAAGACAAGAGAGTGAGACAAGAACTCACAAGAACAAAGCTAAGCAGCCAAAGCCACAAACTGGATTTACAAACAACCTGGATTTGGCAAAAAGTTTCTACTGTTTGGTCATGCAAGCTATGCAAGAGGAATCAGGACTAGTACCGACGACTAAAGCAAATTGGCGAGAACGAATCTCTGGGATTTTGTTCTAAGATGAACTTATCACCTCAGGAAATTTTCTTACTTTCTCCCCTCCAATTTCAATCAAGTTGGAGGGGGGCCGAAACAATCAATCCAATTAACTGTACTGTGACATTGCCTTGTCTCTCCTGCGACGAGCATTTCTCTGCCAGAAAAGAGAAAAAAAGAAAAAACACAGAAAAAGCAAAAATAAGCACCAATGCTAGAGAAAAGAGAAGCAAAAATATATAAGAACACAAACTCGCCACAGGGCCACACAAACTCAAACGAAGCCTCTACGTGTCGCGCCTCGTTTTAAGTTCTAGGTGGATCTTCAAAGATCAAACTGTTAAAAATCTCCTCGATCCAAATGGTAAGAGCCTTGATTGTCGAATCGAATCATACTCGCCACGAGCTATCGAGCGAGCAGCAGCAGTAGCAGCAGCTCGCCAGGTCCCCCATGTGCTAGCCTCCATTTCTTCTTTTTAATTCCATTCCAGCTTGTTCTTTCTTCTTCTTCTTCCAGTTCTTCGGAGAGCTCCAAACTATTTCGTCTTCGTCTCCCCTAGTGTTCTTCGCTGCCTCGATCTCTAGAATCCAATCCTCGAGCCCTGGGAGATGGAGAAGATCGCTGCTCGGGCGATGGAAGCTCCGGAGTGGCGTCGTCACTGCCGTAAGTAACTCGTTCCATCGTCTCTCTTCTTCTTCTTCCTCTTCTTCTCTTCTCTCCATCCTCGAGCTATGCGGAGCTTGAGCTGGGACGAGCTAGATCAAGCCCAAGCTCCACGCCTCCCGGATGGCACTGACGACCTCTGGATCGACTTCCAGCCACTCCCAGCCTCCCTGTTCCAATCCTCCGCACCACCACCGTCCGGAGCAGCAAAGCCCACGGCCTCAAACTTCCGTAGAGACGACGACGACACAACCACTGCCAGTGCCGTGTCATTCGCGTTCATCGCAATCGCAGTCCTCGTCTCTATGTTCCTCGTCATCGCCATCTTCGAGAGGATCCTTCGGCCCCGCCGGAGCCTCGGCCAGCTCCATCACCCCCATGACCTCGACATCGAGTTCTCGCAGATGTCTCAGCGGCCACTGCAGTGGGGCTCTTCCGGAATTGTTGCCTCCACCACCATTGGGAAGTCTCCAACTGTAAGTTCTCTCCTTCACAGTTCTTCCTGTAATTCTTCCTGTAGTTCTTCCTGACCTGTGCTCTTTTCTTTTTTCGAACTTCGCTGGGCTGACTGCCTTCTTCTTTCTCTGTCTGTTGGTGGCTCTGTTGATCGCTTGAGCAGACTTCTTACGGGAAAGGAGTGTCGGTCCTGATGCCTGGCCATGTGTTCCCAACCTTCATAGCTCATCCCGCACCAATTGTGGCCGAGACAAAAGCTGCAACTGGAACAGAGGTCTGAATGAGTGCTGCTGTCTTTGAGCCTATAGTGCGACCTGTAACCAAAGATAAAAAAAAAAAAAAGGAAAAGGAAACACCAACAACTGTTCAGCCAAGACAAACGCCAATCAAGGAACCTGGTTCGGAGAACTCTTTCGGCTGCGGAGTACTTTATGTTTCTCCCTTCCTCTCACATGGCCAGCCACCAGAAGGAGCAGAAAGCAGCACCGCATTTGAATTACAACACACACCAAAAGTTAAGAGAATATTTTTTTCTTCCAGAGCAACTCATCAGTTCTAGAAAAGGCTCAGGAAGCCCCCCTTGTAAATGAACTAACCACATGTTCTCGTAATCGTCATCAATCTCTCGACGAGCTTGCCTTCTCGGCAGGCTTTTTACCCGTGTACCGCTGCAAGAGGGCCAAGCTTACTACGGCGACACGAGGAAAGAAACTCATAGAAAACGATCTCTCTTACCTGCTTGCCAACTGAAAAAGGAACATACTTATACTTGATCATGTGCTTGATTTGCCGCTTCATCGTAAGAGCGAAGAGCACCACCCAGTAGAGCAGCAGGATGGGCCAAAACACCGGCACGTCGAAGATCGAAAAGAACGTCAAGGCAAAGGCGACGCAGAACGCCTTTGTCAATGCATACCTTGCAAAACCAGCAAGAAAAAAAATCGCAATTGGTATGTGACTTCTTCGGACGATCACTCTGTCTAGTAACAAAAAAGGGGGAAAAGGGAGAGCTCACCAGAATTTAAACTCGGGAAGCATACGTATGAAAGGTCTAAACTCGTCGCTGCCTTTGGTGGGCAGCATCGGCCCCTCGCTCTCGGGATCCACTTGCGGCGACAAGAACCCTATGAGAAGGTTGAGGATATAGATACCCACTCCGTACGAGACAATGTAGAAGCCCTTGAGGTAGTAGACCCGGGTGCAGTAGATTAGAGCCGCGACGAGCGAGCCGAGCCATCGCAGTGCCAGATGCGGAGCCGATTTGTCAAGATAGACCTGGAACTTGCGCGAAATATCCTCCTTCCACTTCATCGCCGGCTTCACAGCGCCTGTGACGGGATCCATGTCGCCATAGCCGTCCATAGCTGCGCGCCGCGGAAACGCGAATCCCACACCCCTGGCGCGCAAAACCTAGCCCCGAATCTGCTGCTCTCTTTGCGCCATTTGCCTTGGCGCCGTGAGGAACCCTAAACCATTAGGTAGAGCCCAAATTTTATGCGAATCTTACGGATCTGGATATTCCACCACCGTTAAATTCTCCCAGATCCTACGGCTGTGGGAGAAACCCTAGGAGGGCTTTTCGAGCAGCTACCCCGGCGGCGAGGCTATGGCGATCAGCTTCGACGATCTTGGTTCCAGTGCCGGGCTCAAGAGTCTCGATGAGTACCTCCTCAAGCGCAGCTACATCTCGGGGTAAGTCGAGGAAAGGGTCGAGGAATCGATGAAATATCTTGATTTTGGCTTGTTCGCGCAGCTGTCAAGCTTCCAGGGATGATCTGCTCGTCTACTTGGCTCTAGCAGGCGCTCCATCCCCCGATCTCATCAATTTGTCGCGCTGGTACTCGCACATCACCGGATTGATCGAATCCAGGTATGCCTGGACTGAGATTTTGATGGAGAAAGATCTTTTCTTGATTGTTCCACGAATTTAGCTTCCCTGGATCTCCAGTCGGGGTGTCTCTCAAAGGTGGTGCTGCCCCAGCTCCAGCAGCTCCAGCTACGCGCGACGTACCTCCACCAGCGCCACAGACTCCGGTCGCTGCAGCGGTAAAAATCTCTTTTCTTTTTTTTTGCCTTGAAGCTGACTTGATTCACTCAATAGGACGATGATGATCTCGATCTCTTCGGAGAGGAAACCGAGGAAGAACAGACTGCCGCTGCGGAGAGGGAGGCTAAAGTCAAGGCCTCCGCCAAGAAGAAAGAGTGTAAGCCATAGCTTCTCTTCTATGGTTCTTCGAGCTCACTCTCTCTTTTGTATAGCTGGGAAATCGTCCGTGCTTATGGACGTGAAACCATGGGACGATGAAACCGACATGGTGAAGCTCGAGGCGGCTGTGAGGGCCGTGCAAATGCCCGGGCTCTTGTGGGGTGCTTGTAAGTTCTCGATTTCTTCTCTTCGTTCTTGGGATTGATAGCGAGTTTGTTGCTTGCATTGCAGCCAAGCTTACACCCGTGGGCTATGGGATCAAGAAATTGACGATCATGATGACGGTGGAAGACGAGCTTGTGTCTGTGGACGGTTTGATCGAGGAGCACTTGACAGAGGGCCCGGCGGCGGAGTACATCCAGAGCTGTGACATCGTCGCGTTCAACAAGATATGATCTACTCGGCCATCTCCTTTTTTTGATTGTGTTCTTCACTGCGAGAAAGGAAGAACTCTCGTCGTCGTTGTATTCCCTCCAGCTTTCTACAATCTTAAAAAGTTTTGTATGATCCATCCATCGTTCCAAATAAAATTGGCGCTACAACGCCAAGGTTGACTATAGTTGACGTAAAGTAAACCATTAGTTCGTTTATCTCTAACCCTCGCGGTTTAGATTAACTCGTTATCTTCCCGCCTATTTCCAAACGCGAGGTTCTTCGCGCGCCATGGAGATGAAGGCGCTGGAGCGGCGGCTGGGAATGGCGGCCGATCGCGAAGTGCTGCGCAAGGCGGAGGAGCTGCTGCGCCTCTGCCGGATGGAATTTGATGCGGCGGCATTTGGCATTGTGAGTGTGCTTGCTTCTTTCTTTCCGCCTGTGACTTGAGGGTATGCAATGCTCTTGTGTGTTATTCCAGGGCGATGTCTGCCGATCCGTGCTCTGTTTCGAGATCGCGTGCTCGATGTAAGTATCCAGATCTGCATTTCTTTGCGGGTGGAGTTTATTTCTTTCTTTTCTTCTCGGACAGGATGCAAGTTCCATTTGATCGGCAAAAGGGAATCAAGCTGAGTGGTCTTTCTGATAAGGCTTACAATAGATCACTCACCACAGTCCAGAATGCTCTTGGTATCAGGTATTTCTTCAAAGCCAGGAAGAAAAGAGATGGAAAAAAAATGTGGGAATAACATTTTTTTTCTTCAGGACAAGCTTGAATGTGCGCGAGCTCGCTGTGCAATTTGGATGCGTGAGACTCATACAAGCAGTCCAGAGAGTCTTGGCAGCGTAAAAGCTTCCTCTTTCCTTTTAGTTTATTTCTTTACGGGCTCTCTCTACGTTTTGCTCCAGATACAAAGAGCGATTTTTGGCCACTTTACCAGAAGCACGACGTCGAAGCGCTGATTTCGATCGCCCTGTATTCACCAGCGTCGCGTTTTATTTATGCGCGAGAAAGCAAAAGGCAAGCAGTTTCCAATGCTTTTTTTCACGGTTTTACTGTCTTTTTTTTGTATGTTTCAACAGCTTAAAGTTGACAAAGCTAAATTGATGGAGGTGTCTAGCACGTCGGACCCTGAGTTTTCCAACGTAAGCTCCAGCGAGCAATTGTATTGCCAATTCTAGATTTTATTTTTCTACAGGTTGCCGCGTCTATGACAGATATCTGCTTCGATTTGGTCGGTGTTGAGAAAGAGAAATCCGAATCAAGAACTAGAGGATGCAAGAGAGGTATGCAAAGAACTCGATATTTTTTCTGCAAGGCCTGATCTCACAGTGCGAGCATTTCTTCTGCAGCTCTGTCGGATGCCACGAATCTCGAGGTCAGTAGGAAGGCGTCGATCTGCTTGTTGCAACTTCCAGGTTCTAAAGACATTAGTTTGGTTTGCATGCAGGATCCAGGCAGGACAACATGCCTAGAATACGAGGAATGGAAAGAGGCCGTTTTGTCATCCTCGAAACAAAATCCATCACCTGGTAAGCTTTTAGTGATTAGTTTCTTTGGATTGATCAAGCGTGCCCGATTTCTCCGTTCGTTTGTTCAGGGGCTGTCAGAGACCGAAAGCAAACGCGCTTAAACTTCGAAAGAATGTGATTTCGATATTTTGTAAAAAAGGCAAAAGTAAAGTTACTCATTTTTAAAAAACTTCTAAATATGTTTACTAGCAAATTAAAATACCAAATAATATTAGTATTTATTTGGTACTAAAGATCATACCAATTGATTTATATTGTCTTGGTTTTACCAATTGCTTCTACCCATCTTGAATAACACTGCAAAGCAAAATAATTCACTAGCCTTGTTCCTCCTCTTGTTTGTACTATTACTATATGTATTATTATTATAAGCATTAGCAACATTCTTCATGGTTGCCAGCTTTGCAAGGAGTGCCCTGTCGTACGCATCAAGCAACCCATCCTGTGGATTCCACACGCATCTCTTTGATTCTCAGGGGTATGCTCCACAAATCCCTCGGCCTTAAACCTGGAGCACTTAATAAGACGTTGCCAAGATGAGATCTCATGACCTTGAGTATTTTCCTCCATAGCTAGAGCTCTAGAATCAATCAAAAAACGCTTGAAATGTGACAAAATACGCTGGAATCTCCAAGGATGAGTACTAGACTGGTGAAGAGAAAAGCTTTGCATTTTTGTTTCTATTCTAAGGGGATGTAGCTCAGATGGTAGAGTGCTCGCTTAGCATGCGAGAGGCACCGGGATCGATACCCGGCATCTCCAACTATTTTCAATCATTCCAAGCATTTTGACCGATTTTACTGGTGTTGACTATGGTTGACCACTTGAGGAGCTAGGGATCCAACAACCGGATGGTGCTAGTTCCCTCCACTGTTGGGTCACTGGATTGCTGCTCTACCGTCTGTGACAAACTGGCCGATTTTACTGGTGTTGACTATGGTTGACTACTTGAGGAGCTAGGGATCCACGATGAAGAAGTACAACCGGATGGTGCTAGTTCCCTCCACTGTTGGGTCACTGGATTGCTGCTCTACCGTCTGTGACAAACTGGCTTTTATTCCAGTACCCAGATGGGTTAATTCTTTTGCTTTTGCCTCTGACATTATGAAACTACTTTGATATGTTGTGTCTGCAATAGAGGCAACCATAATAAGAGACCTCCACCGGCCGAGAAAAAGAAGACTGGTAGGCAGGAGCGTGAAGACAACAAGGATGCCATCTACATGACAAAGATAATCCAACTTGCATTTTTGCATCTATCAGTCTCATGCTTTCGGTTGGGCACCGTGAGACTATCAAAACAGCAATGGATAGATATTTATCTCGTGTTTCTTTTCCCCAGTTTTCTGTAGAGGAAGTAGTTTGTGCACGCTGATGGCTTGTGTCTCCATGATCCCATTCAATGAGTGCTAAGTTGAAAAACGAGAAAAAAAAAGAGTTTCGTTATTCAAAGTATGCAAAGTGGCGTGTCACTGCAAGTAGGACATTAGGATTGGAAAGATATCCATTTCTCTTTTTGAAATATCATACCTATACTGTGGAGAGCATTTGGTGATTGAGCGATGCATGTTATCTCAAAGGAAGCAGCGCAGGAATGCGATCTTTCAGGAGCCCGGGTGGCAGATCGAAGTGACGGATCATCTGGAAGTTGTGGTGGACGATTCGCCAACTGAGAAGAAACAGCTGGATGCTCACACTCGTAGTTCCCACAGCAATGGTACACTGGAATTCTCCGCAAAGTGTCCTGCCAACACTGGCAGTGACACGTAAGTCAGCACAGTGCATGTGTTGTCACAGGGAAGAATGTGTAGAATCAATCTTCAAGGAGATGAAGTTGCAGAGAGGCTCTTGCTCACTGACGGCGATCTCACCCAGAGATCACATACAAGGCTTGACTGGTGGAAGTCGCCAGACTTGGAAGTTATGACACAACTGGCTCGGAACATGGATTGGAAGGTAGAGCAAGAACCTACCAAGTTTCGATTTGATGAAGGATTTACGAGCTATCCTCTAGAGGTGACAAGGGAGCAGACGTTGGTGCACCTCCAAAGGCCAGAGAGGTTGCTCGAGACGAAAGGTTTGAGAAAATGTAACGTACTACGTTTGCTCTCTATTCTTGCAGGCGCTCAAATCTCAACTTCGAGAGAAGAAGCAGTACAGGGCATAGTGGCCAGATAAGTTTCTCCAGAGTCAAGAGCATCATAAGCCGGTAATCAAGCAAGTGCAATTGTGAAAGTATGGTCGAAGTCTACACTGCGGCTTGCAACACAGGTTGTTCGACAGGATGGGACGAAGAACAGGATAGGTTGGTCTACCTATCCTGGAAAGCAACACTCTCGCCTCACAAATTGTGAATACGAAGCCGATGCATTTGTCGCAAGCAGCCTCATGGACATGTGGAAGCGTCAGAATTGTTCGGGAGGACGAAGAAACATGCCTGGAACACGATCATCACGGGACATGCACTTCTTCTATCGGATGCAACGAGAAGCTGGCCTACCTCCAAACGCTGAGACTTTGCATGGAGCAGCAAAACATTGTTTCCTGGGATACACCGAGAACAACCTTTGCTCTCGAGCGCTATGAGCAAGCCGGCAGCCCAACGCTCAGACTTTCATGGTGGCGCTCAAGGCACGGGGCGACTTAGGCGAAGAGGCTCCACTCGCAGATCTGGAAGAGAAATCTGGACGGAATCCACTACTCACGTGCTCACTCATCACATTCTATAGGAAGTGTGGAGACGTGGCTGCCTCTCAAGAAGTTTTCTGCCCCAAGTTCAGTATTACTCCGGCACTTCCTCTTGCACTACTCATTTGAAGTACCTGGAGAGTGCCTTATGAAGCATGATGTTCATAGGGACTATAGTTTTTAGTTCATAGCTTTTTTGTTTCATCTTATAGCTAAAACAGCTTGAAGTCAGAGACTTCTAACTAGCTCGACCATCTTGGCCTAAGCATCACGTAAGTCAAGTACCTTCTTGTGAAGGCGAAACTGAAGCTTGGTAGTTTCATGAAAAGCTGTGAAGGCTCTGGAGCTTATCTCCTTACACATGGTAAGTATCTTGTTCTTTGACTTTTTCATCAATGACATGTTATTTCAGGGACGGGAATGGACATACAATCTTATTGTGGAGAGGGTATTAGGAGGTGTTGCTCATCTCGGGAGCTTGTTGGTAAACTTTGTGAGGAAAATGGAGAAAGAGTGTAATGCAAGATTGACGGAGCCATCAACAAAACCCAAACAAAGATGAAAACAGGCGAAAGGATCTTAGGGGGCACACCATGGTCAAAAGATAAAAATATCAGAGACAATCATGCTCTGGATCATATTTCACAAATGGTTATTTATATAGGAAATTATATATCTATGGTGTTTGGTCACTTAAACTTAACTTGAAAACTTGGGACTCAAGCTTCTCCAAGTAGATTAGATGTTACATTCTGTCCTGTACAAATGTACAACTTTGTAACTATGATTCAAGTTCTTTAAATCTTTTTTGATTTCATGATAGAGAGTTGTCCAAAGTAAATTGTGTGCTTTTGTCTTGCTGATGCTTGGCAAGTTTCTTTGTGCCTTCTTTCAGCTGATCTAGACAAGGTCGTTAATACATTTAAGTTTCGTGATGGTTGCACGTTTTTCTTCTATTGAAGAA